AGAAATCTTAGGAGATCGTGAATTCCGGTTAATGTGGGAATGATAACAGGAAACCAAACTCGCTGTCATCCAGTCCATTCTTGTTCATGGTGACCCTATAGGACAAGGTAGAACTGCCCTTTAGCTTTCTGAGACTGCAGCTCTTTATGGAAGTAGAAAACCACAGCTTTCCCCTGAGTAGTGGCTGGTGGTTTCAAGCTACTAACCACAGGGTTAGCAGCTGTCTTAGTCTGGGCTGACTACAGAAACAAATTCAGAGACACTCATATATATCAGAAAGAGCTTTATATAAAAGAGTAATTGTATATTAAGAAAACATCCCAGCCCAGTCCAGATCAAGTCCATAAGTCCAATATTAGCCCATATGTCCAATGCCAGTCTATAAATTCCTCTTCAGACTCACAAACACAGGCAATAACACCAAATGCAGGAAGATCACAGGGCAGTGGGTGGAAAGTGTTGTGGATCCAGTGGTGGTGGAAGCATCTCAGCGCTGGTGTGAGTCTCCATGTAGCTCCTCCATCTCCAGGGCTCTGGCTTCATCAGTATAGCTCCATGTGGCTTGTCAACAGGAATGTCTAATGTCTCACAGTGAGTGTGTGTCTGTCCTGCAGTGAGCTATTTATCTCAGTTTCTCCTCCAAATGAGGTCATCAAGCTGCAACCTGATTGACATGCTAAACCCCACCTAGTCACTCAATAGTTTCAAATTGACACCAGATTATATAACAGCAGCCCAAAATGTAACCACTGATTCTTATGGCTCCTCAAGAATAGTTACACAACTGGAATACTTTAACCATTGTTAAACTATCCATATGTAAATTGTTACAATTGCATGTGTTTAGGTATATATTTCTATCAATAACAAAATAATCTATTTTAGAAAAGAAAAAACAAAATGAAAAGCAATAAAAGCATTGTGTATATATTTGAAACAAGTAATAGAATTTTAAGTTGAATTATTTTACTTCGAAGTAAAGTTTATATAACAGTCATAACTGGTAGTATATTTTAATATGAACAGAGTGCATGTGTTCATCTATATTGAAATCTATTTATAAAAGTTAAAAGTATTTAAGGGGTTGGCAATTTATCCCCAAGGATGCAGAAATTTATTTTTGGAAATACCATTGTACTGAATGGAAAGCTTTTGTTCTTGGTCTCAAGCAGTTTAATAACATAAATCAGAACTTGTTTGCCTAAGTGAGAAGAGAAAAGATCATCTAAATCCGTTGATTTTTATCTATTTTAGAGTCCCTCAGGGCAGGTACTTTGTCTTAATGCACTGTGAAATGTGTAGAATCATTCTATGCTCATAAAATGCTTTCTACCAGATGGTATTTGATGGCTGTATTCATCTCGAACATGAACAGAATATTAGTTTAGAGATTTGTTTTCTTTTCCAAAATTTCTATTTTCTAGTGTCTAAGCACATGGCCCATTTTTATAGATATTTTGGGGGACTTTAGTAAAATGGGTGAGTCAAATACAGATTCAGCAAGCTGTTTGAGTAGACCAAATGGGGTGCCTTAAGTTTAAAGCTATTGTTTTTCCATCAAGCAAAAATTAGACAAAGATCAACTTTATCTTGTTAATTATGAGAATAGATTGTGTAACATATTTCAGTAAAACAGTGACTAAATTATTTTGATTGTTAAGTGCTCAATTTACCAATCTGGGCATTAACTCATGTAAAAAAAAGGGTAGGCAAAATATGATACTATGAGTGCTATAAACAAAAATTATGCAATATTCACTTTGCTTTCATCCCCACAAAAATATTTCAGGACTCCCAAATAATTAAATGTTAGAGTATATTAGAGAGATTAAAAATACAACATTAAGCTGGATTTATATAATTGTGTACACAATGCTATATTGCTTGAAAAGTATTTCTTCTAACTTTATGTAAATAAAAGTCACATTGTACAATACAGACTCATTAACTAAAATAGGAAATCCACGGCTATCAAAAATTTTTTGACTCTCAGTAATCTTATAGGCCAGAATGTAACTGCCTCTTTGAGTTTCCTGGCCTTTAAATATATATAGGAATAGATAGTGTCATCATTTTTGTTTTTATTTTTCTTCCTGTGTAGCAGCTAGTGGGTTTGAACTGCTTACCTCAGGTGAGCAGTCCAGTGTCTAGCTCATTAAGGTCATATGGCTCGTTTTCGGACTCATGGTATGTCAATCTTTATGGGAGCAGTTAGCCTCATCTTTCTTCAAGGAGGAACAGATGGGTTTAAAGCACAGTCCATGTGATTAACTGCCTCAGGCTTTCCTATGAGAACCACCAGGCTTCCAAAACAGCAACTACAGAGCATTAAACACACACAATACCTGCTTGTATCTATTGATCTATCATCCTACATGAGAAGACGATGATATAAAAGAGAAAGCAATTGGAAACATTTGTGGTTGCTGGGTGAGGTCAAGTTGATTTCAACCTAGTACGATAGAGCAGAACCTCCCTTTCTCCCGGAGTTGTCCCTGTGGGGACAGGTCATCAGGTCTTTGCTCCCAGGAAGGTGCTGCTATATTGAACTGCCAACATGTTGGTTATCAGCCCAGTGCTTGTCCAATGTGCCACCAGGGCTTCTTGGACAAAGTACAGTGTCAGCTTTTTCGTGATCAAATCCAGTCTCTGAAACGTACATTGCTTTGTTTTTTAAAAATTCCACGCTATTTTTCCAGTTAAGTGAGTCTCTTTAATTGCAATTTAATTTTATCTTCTTAGCTAATTCTTGCTTCACAAGAATTGCTTCTTGCCAATTCTTGATCAGAAACAAAGGAAGAAAATATCAAGTGTTTACTAGCAAACCCACTCAGGACATTATTTGAATTGCTTTGTTTCTTACTTTCTAGTCTTAGGCTACAATTATAATTAAATTAACACTTCAATATTAGATTTAAATGAAATATTTCCAACTGTTTCAATGATTTTAGCCAAGATTGCTTAATTCCTACCATGTTATTATTTCATTTTACTCTTGTGCATGAGAGGTTACAATAATCATTGTAGCAAACAAAACAATATTTTGATCTGAAAAAAACACACGTTACTGTGACAACAATGAAAATGCCAGGGAGGAGAAAGGCCATGACAAAGATAGCTGTCGTCACAATCCACTAAGGAGATGGGGCGAGGGAAAGCGTTCAGACACAGTCAGATACTGCACATGTTTTAGCAGCTAGACCTAATGGGATTCGATGACAGAGTGCACGGAGGAGTAATTATGAGAGGTCAGGTATGAAGATACATGGTGTGAGCAAGTAGACAGACAGAGTTCATGCTATTAGTTGAGATGATAATAATAATGAAAGCAGTAGATAGTTGTTTTAGTTTTAATACTTACAGTGGAGGGTGAAGATTGGAGATACATTGCAATTTTGGGCTTTGTAACATTTGAATTGTGAATGCTTGTTATTCCCTAAATTGAAGATTCAAGTAGCTAAGTTGACATAAGTCTGAAATTCAAGGCAAAGTATCGTCCTAGAGCTGTGGTTCTCAACCTGTGGGTTGTGACCCCTTTGGGGGTCGAACGACCCTTTCACAGGGGTCACCCGATTCATAACAGTTGCAAAATTACATTTAGGAAATAGCAATGAAAATAATTTTATGGTTGGGGTCACCACAACACGAACTGTCTTAAAGGTAATAATAAGGACTAAAGCAGCATTAGGAAGGTTGCGAACCACTGGCCTAGAGAATATGGATGCTATTTAAAGCTACACATTAGCTAAGTTTACCGCATGCGTGTGATTCAGACCACCTTTGGAGCAACACAATGTAAAACTGCTTCTAGCTGAGGATAGGTCAGCAGTGGGAAACAAGAAGTTACCAGTAGAGTCAGAGCAAGAACAGGAGCCTGGGGGAGAAGGCATGAGTGTGTCCCGGAGGAGGTGTTTTTCTGAGGCGGAGATGCACTCTTCTTGTAAAGCTTCTGTCGCAGAATTTGGCTCAGAGTGAATATTCCTTGTGCTTATTCAGCTGGTTTTGGACCTTAGGGTACGTGTAATCTAGGAAATATTTTCAGCCGTCAATCCATCATGGCAGCTGATAGAGATGGTCCAATTAGTTTAAACTGTAGAGCTAGATGAATATAAAATATAATAAAAATGAAATAACTCTACAAAAAAATTACATATTTCCTATCAGGTCAGTTTTCTATAAACTCAGGAGATATTATTTTTATTCATTATTATTACCTTTCTTTCTGCATTCAAAACCAAATTTACTACCATCTGGTTGATTGTGACTCAACAATTCTATACACAGATTAGATGTGATCCACAGCGTTGTCAAGGCTGTGAATATTTATAGACGATGCTACATTTTTCTCCTGAAGTGCAGGTATGGGTTTGAACTCCTAACCTTGTGTTCAGTGGCCAACACTTCACCAACTACACCACCAGGGCTCCTTGATACTACTTTCAGAAAAGCTGAGCTCAGCCATGAAATTCTTTATTTTTTAATATATTACCACTAGTTTTTAAAATTGTTTTATTCCTAAGAGTATCATAGATAGTATGTGTCATTAGCTTCAAGCTTCTACAGTACTCTGGATTGAATGGGGAGTGAGGTAGTTAGTTGATTGTGCCAACCTGGCCGATTAACACATGTGAGGTGAGTTGAAGGGCGAAGAGATAAATGGCTTGGTGAGCCTCACCTTGTGGAGACCTCTGCCAGCGCTGAGACGCTTACACGTTCACTGACTCCGCTTTCCTCCTGCAGTCGGCATCACAGTGTATGTTTTGTGAGATAAAGGAGGACTTTGTGGATTGGTGTTGGACATATGGGTTAATGTTGGACTTGTGGGCTTGGGCAGCACTGGGTTGGGATGTTTTCTTGATGAGCACTTAACCTTTATTTAAAACTCTCTCTTATACATGACTTTCTGTGGATTTGTTTCTCTAAAGTACCCAGACTAACACAGGGGCTTCGTAGTCATATCGATGACTTGACAATTGAAATACGTTGTTGTTTTTCTTCAGGCAACTGATCGAGAAGGAGACCCAATAACCTATGCCATTGAGAATGGAGATCCTCAGCGCGTCTTTAATCTTTCAGAAACGTAAGTTAAAAGTTATTTCCAAACAGATTTATTCCCCTTTAAGATTGTTAACCCATGCACCAAATCAGAAGAGAACAGGGCCCTAATCAAAGGTTTTCAGCAGTTTGTAATTGATAGTTTCTTTCTTTCTTTCTTTTTAAATGAATGTTAATGAGAGTTGGGAGAATATTTCAGAACAAAAAAATCTTACCCAGGAGACTATTTATTTATTTTAAATATTTTTACTAAGTAAAATCCACTGAGGTGGAAACATTTCATTTTCAGGTATAACCTGGGATTAATTAGATCCTTTAAAGTTGTCAGCTATTTATAATGACAAGGGCGTTTCCACAGAGTGTATCCTGGCAGTAAATTGTTTAGTGAAAAGAGATTTTATGGGGTGAGGTGTACGGTGGGACCAGCCTCTAATTTCTGATGAATTTCGGTATATTCTAAAGCAGCTAAAGTTAAAGTATTCTAAATCCATGCTAAGATTAATTGACGTTGAGATAAAGCCTTTCTATTTAACTCTCTGAAAATGTCACCCGATAATGATAACTGTTGAGAAAACTGGGGACAGAGAATAAGCAAAAGCACTGTAATGTCCAGAGAGGTCACCTGCTTCCCTTTTCCCATGATAAAGCGGCCGTTCTGCCACCTGAGGCGTGCTGTTAATGAACTGCACTTGCGGTCTTTCTGACAGTTTCTGTGTGGTCTTGAGTGGTTTCACTCCCCGAAAGAATGGAAACCTCAATTTGACCTATAATTAGAAAGTGAAAAATTGACAAAGTTAGTGAGTACATCAGGCTTAAGGTCATGCGGCATATAATGTCAGATCCATGAGTAGGCTCTTGGATTTTTGAGCAACATGCAATCTCTTGCAGGTTAAGATTCTACAACTATGGGTTATTAATATCTGGGACACCCATGTCAAGAACTGTGTTTTCTAAATTTTTGGTTTCACAGATTAATAAAACTCTACTTAAAGTGGGGAAGTTTTACTATTTGGAAAGGTCTCCACTAGAGACATGAAAATAAAAATTTGACTATACCCCACAATCATCATGAAAGAAATCAAACATTCAAAGGAGTAAAAAATAATTTATATGATAGCGCTTTCATTGTTAGATACATATATCAATGAAATAAAATTATAAATCCAAAAACAAACCCTAACATTTATGGCCAATTGATTTCTGACAAAGGACTTGAGACAAATCAATCTTTCCAACAAACTATGGGACATCGGGATATCCATATGCCAAAGAATGAAGACAGATTCCTTACCTTATACCACACACAAATAGCACTCCAAGTGGATCAGAGCCTGATAGGTATAATTGTACAACTCTTAAATACAACACAGATGTAAATCTTCATATTTTGCTCTGGTGTAGTACAAGTGCTGAAGGTGAAAGTTGATAAACTGATTTTCATTTAACCCAAACCAAACTAACAAAAAAAGACCTCTTCAAAATCCAACAGCAATTCTTAGTCATTATAATGTGTTTTCCCTTCATACACTGGAGTAAAATGCATGCCCCAAAGGTTCTTTTAACTCTCTTCTAAACTATATTAGCCAGAGATGGATAATCATTTCATTACCACTTTGGAGAAACAGACAACAACTGGTGGCACTTTGGATTAGCCTTGGTCTGTTACCGGAAGGGTCAGTAATTCAAACCCACCAGCCTCTCCACGGGAGATGAGCTTCTGCCAAGTCTTGTAAACCGTTGCTATGATCTGAAAGTGATTCTATGGCAGTGGGTTTAGATGTAAATTTACAAACGTTAACTTTATGTAATTTTATGAATTGAATGAGTCTTTTGTAACCTAAAACAAAGAGATTCCCATTAAAGAAAAATTCTTGGTTCTTTAAAAGTCACAACTGTCCATTATAAAAACTGATTAACAACATACATTATAATACACAAACATTGAAATGCAAAGAAACATTTTAATAGAGGGTAGTAAATGAGAGAGTCAAATGTCACAGTGAGAAGTTTATTTGAAAAAATTTATACTCACTAACATTTTTTAACATTAAATCCAGAACTTGGTTACATTTTTCATGTTGGTCTGAACTTTATAAATACTTTGAAAATACAATGACTTATAAGAAATCTATGGGATCTCTGGTCAAACAGTAGGTTACACTTGGGGCTGCAAATCATAAGGTCAGCAGTTCGAAACCATCAGCCGTTTAGAGGAAGAAAGATGAGACTTCCTGCTCGTGTGAACATATACAGCCTGTAGACCCCAAAGGGCAGTTCTCTGTCCTGCAGGGTTATAATAAGTCTGAATCAACTCCGTGGCGGGAGTTTTATTTAGTGTTTCTAAGCAATATTTATAAGCTTAAAAAAATTTTTCCTATTACCTTACATTCAAAATATATCCAGAAATCAAATCACTTTTCATACTCTCCATTCTACCAGCACAGTCTTTGTTACTATCATCCCCGAGGAGGCTACTCTTGCCGCTCTGTGATTGTTGTGGGTCCGTGCCTTCAAGTCAGCTCCTACTCACAGCAACGGCATTCACAACAAAATGAAACACCACCTGCTCCAGGCCATCTTCCTAATGTTCGAACCAATGTTGCAGCCACTCTGTCAATCAGTCTCGTTGAAGACCTTCCTCTTTGTTGCTGCCCCCCCCACCACTTTACCAAGCATGATGTCCTTCTGCAGGGACTGACTTCTCTGGGTAACATGTACATAGTATGTGAGATGAAGTCTTGTCCTCTTTGCCTCTAAGGAACTTTCTTGCTGTACTTCTTCCAAAACAGAACTGCTGGTTCTTTTGGCAGCCCAGAGTACTTGCAATCTTATCTGCCAACTCTATAGTTCAAATGCATCTATACGGCTTTGGACCTCCTTATTCAGTGTCCAACTTGCATGTGCATATGAGGCAATTGAAAATGTCATGATTTGGGTAGCACACACCTTAGCACTCAAAGTAACTTCCTTGCTTTTCAATACTTGAAAGCAGTCTTGTTCAGCAAGTTTTCCTAAAGCAAGCATCCTTCAATTTCTTGTACTGCTCCTTTCATGAACACTGATTGTGGATCCAACCAAGACGAAATCTTTAATAACTTCAGTCTTGTATCTGCTTATCATGAAGGTCCCTATTGGTCCTGTTGTGAGGATTTACTTTGAGTTGTAATCCATTCTGAAGATTGCAATCCTTGATCTTCATCACCAAGTGCTTTAATGTTCAAATTCAGGAAGCATGGTTTTGTCATCTGCATATCACACGTTTTTTTAGTAAGCCTTCCTCCTATTTAACACCATGGTCTTCATAGAATTTAACTTCTCTAATTATTTGCTCAGCATCCGGATGGAATAGTCTGGTGAAGGGACACCATCCCGACACACACCGCTCCTGATATGAAACCATGCAATATCTCCTTGTTCTGGTCTCAGAATTGCCTCTTGATCCGTGTACAGATTCTGCATAAGCACAAGTACGTGTTCTGTAATTTACATTCTTCTCAGTACCATCACCCATAGTTTATTATGATCCACACAGCTGAATGGTTTTTCATAGTCAATGACATACAAGTAAATATCTCTCTGGTATTTGCTGCTTTCAACCACGATCCACCTGCCATTAGCAATGATACCTCTTGTTCCATATCCTCATCTAAATCTGGCCCGAACCTCTGGCTGCTTTCTGTCAATATACTGCTGCAATCATTGTTGGATTATCCCCAGCAAAATTCTACTTGCATGTGATAGCAATGCTATTGTTCTAAATTTGCATGTTCTCGTAGGTCACCATTTTTAAATGAGTACAAATGACCTTTTCCAGGAGAGTGGCCAAGATATTGTATGCAAAATGTCCTTGTATAGATTAAGGAGGGCTTCCAGTGCTTCATCAGCTTGTTGAAACGTTTCAACTGGTGTTCCATTAATTCTTGCAGCCTTGTTTTTTGGATAATGCTTTCAATGTGATTTTGCTTATATACTACCTCCTGCAATGATGGAATGTTGACTAGTTATTTTTGGTACAGTGACACTGGGTCTTCTTCTGATTCTTCCTTCATCACTCAACATTTGGCCTATATTATCTTTCAATATTGAAATTTGAGGCTTGATTTTTTTCCCTTGAATTCTTTCAGTTTAAGATATTCTGAGTGATCTTCTGTTTTAGCTTTCTAACTTTTAAGTCTTTGATCATTTCATTATAATAATATTTTGTCTTTTTAAGCCATCCTCTGAAATTTTCTGTACAGATCTTTGACTTCATAATTTCTTCCATTTGGTTTAGCTACTGTAGGGTTAAAAGCAAGTTTCAGAATCTCATCTGACACATACGTGAATTTTTTTCTTTCTTTCCTTTATTTTTAATGATCTTTTGTTTTCTCCTTGTATAATGTTCTTGATGTCCTCCCACAGCTCAAGAGATCTTCTGCCTTTAGTGTTTAATGCATGAAATTTGTTCTTGGCGTGTCCTCAAAATTCAGGTGGGGGTTTTTAAAGGCCATATTTTAACTCTCATGGGCTTGTTTTCCTTTAATTCAACTTCAACCTGAATTTACATACGAGTAATTGATGGTCTGTTCCACAGTCGACCACTGGCCTGGTTTTAGCTGCTGATACTGAGGCTCTCCGTGGTCTCTTCCCACAGACATAGTCAGTTTGATTTCTGTGTGTTCCACCTGGAGAAGTCCACATGCATGGTCACCTTTTGTGTTGCTGAAAAGAGGCATTTACTATGAGCAAATCGTTGGTCTTGCAAAATTCTATCATGAAATCTACAACTTCATTTCTGCCACCAAGGCCATATTGTCCAACTGCTGTATCTTCCTTTTGGTTTCAAACTTTTGCATTACAATTGCCAATATTTACCAATACATCTTGATTGAATGTTTGATCAATTTCTGACTGAGGACTGGTTGATTTCTTCAATTTTGCATCACTAGCTTAGGTTGGTGCATAAATTTAAATAATAATTGTATTGATTGGTTTTTCTGAAATGCAGATAGACATGATTTTATTACAGACAGCATTGTACTTTAAGATAGATAAATCTTTAAATATTCAGTTTGGAAGAGGTATATAATACTACCATCGCTCTTGATACACTTTTCCCAGCACAGTAAGTTATATGGTTTTCTGATTAAATATAGCCAATTTTAGTCTATTTCAGCTCATGCATGCCTATGTTAATTCTCTATGCATTTCATTTCATTTTTAATGACTTCCAATTTTCAGAGTTTCACACTTCAGACATTTAAAGTTCTGCATATTCATTGATGTTTGCAGCTGTTTCTTTTCACTTGATGTCGTGCCCCATCAGCAAATGAAGATCTGGTGATGGCTTTGCCTCCACAGGCCTTACTCCATGAGTCATTATCATTGACTGCATTTTAGGAAGGCAGCTCAACCTCGGTCCACTTTGAGTGCTTTCTGAATGCAGGGGCTCATCTTCTTTCAGTGTTTCTGACTGTGCTCCACTTCTGTTCATTAGGTTTTCAGTAACTGATAGTGTTTTGATGCTATTCGAAGGATTTTCAGTAGCTAATTTCTCTGAAGTGGACATCTTACTACTTTTTGATGATCTGTTCTTACTCTGGAAGTTTCGTCAAAACCTCTTCAGTTTGGATGACCCTGTTGGTATTTGAAATGCAGGTGAAGTAGCTTTCAGCATCATAACACACAAGCCACCACAGTCTGACAAACTGACAGACATACAAGGGCTGTGATTGCTAATCACTAATGATTTTAGTTAACGCTTAGTGTCTCCTTTACAATATTCTTTTAATCATTAGAGATATACGTGCCTTGTTTATCATATTGTATCTGATGTGATGTTTACATATTTTCAATATGGGAATTGGTCGATGTTTCTTGCATTCCTAAATAGTTAAGTTTAGTTAACTAGTAGATTTCTAAAGAGTGAAGTTCAGTGGACTACTAAAGTAGTTAAGTGATTCCACTGATAACTGAAAAGTGATTGGCTTGAATTTACAATGCGTTCTGTGGGAGAAAGATGGAGTAGTAAGCTTCTGTAATTATACACAGCTCTGTAAAGCCTATGGGGAAACTTTATAGTTTCCATTTTGTTGTAACCTACTCAACAGTATTTTGTTTGGTTTTCGGTTATTGTATCTTCCAATGATAATTTCCACCTGGTTAAAAACAGGACTTCTGCTAATTATTTAGTTCTGGTATTTCATAAAAAGCTGCTTCATATGTTCCCATAAATTGCTCTTTTGCTGAGAATGTCAAAATATACTGCCTATACTTCTATTCTCTAATATTCCATTCCACTGGTTAAAATATGGAACACAAGCATGTATTATCTGAAGGAAAGAATAATCTTCATCTTAATCACCAGGTCATGAAATAAATGGTTGGTTACTTGTTATTTGGTCCTAGACAGACCAAATGCCATAAAGCTTATTTAGTATTTGTAAAAATCTATAATTGGAAAGGAAGAATGAGGATCCTTGGTGATGTCAGGCAGGTAAGTTTTGGGCTTTGAACCTCAAGATCAGTGGTTCAAGCCCACACTGCAAGGGAGAAAGCGGAGGCTGTCTGCTCCTGTCAAGATTGATAACCTTGGAAACCTACGGGAGTCAGAGGAGTAGGAATGGACTCAATGATAGTGACTTTTGTTTTATTTTGTTTTAATAAAGAACAATGTCGAGTACTGAATCTCAAACCAAAAGGAGACTTGGATTAGAACAATCTCAATGTCCTTTCATTCTGTGTGCTATCGCCAGGGTTTCCTTTTCCCTTTTCTACATTAACTTGTGGGTTAGAATCAGAAGCAATAAATGCCTTATTTTTCTCATTGAATGTCACTTCAGAATGAGATTATCTGAACCATCTGCAGTGTGGAAAGTTGATCCAAACGTGATTGTTGTGAAGATACTCTGGGAATTGGTTTTCAGTTATTTTGACAAAACATTTAAAAGTGTACAAGAAGTGAAGTCAGCTTCTCAAATTCATACCATATGTTTAAAACTGCTTCAAAAAAAAGCTATGTCATAAACAACAACAAAATAAAAGAGTAAGGGTGACTTTAATTTAGATTCAATGGCTTTGACTTCTGGTACTCAAGCACCAAACAAAGAGACTGCAAAATGTTTGTCCAAAAAAATCACATTTAAAGGTGAGGGAATTTTTTCATGTACGTGGTGTGAATTGCTTAAAATCCATGTTAACAATGTAAGCACTTGTATTAAATTGAAAGCTTTTAATCAATCAGAAGTAAATCTTGTTTTAATACTTGATAAATATTTTAAGGTTTTATTATATTAGGGTACTCTCTCCTCTAAGGCAGGTGCTTACTAAGTCTTAATTAAAATTTCATATACATTTTTAGGTTGTAAAACCTGAAATGAATGTGGAACTTTATTTAGAGAGCAAATACATTAACAAATTGATTTAAAAGCAAACAAAGATGTTCCATTGAATGGTAAAACCTTAAATAGCACTATTTATGAAGTGTGAAACACTAAGTTATAATAATAAAATATTTCTAAGTATAAGAATCCGCCTATGGCTGTATCCCCATGATACATAATAAGTAAAGTTAAGATCCACTTAAATGTGAAAATAATGGTAGATTTAAAACATTGTCAGGATATCTAAGAAATAATTTGATTTTATCAATTATGAAATTATATAACTAGTACTCATAAATCATGTTTTTAAATCATATAAATCACTAGATGTAATCTAGGCCAAGTTTTGATGACAATTATGTTTAAGCATGATTATAAAAGAGAATGAAGAAATATTGAAAACTTATTAACCATGATATCTCTAAATTTTTCTTTGAAAACTCCATCTTGTAATATTTAAAGTCCTATGATGAGCCAAAATATTAATTTAATTTAATCTTCAGAGATTTCCAAAGATCGAATTAACATGATTAACATTTCACCATGGGACATATATATGAAAATGAAGAGGATAGGTAATTTCAATTAGTTACAAGAAACTATTTACTGGTTCAAAATATACTTAAACTACTAAAGAATAATAGAAAAATTTAACATTCAAATAATTACAAATAAGGGAGACATATTTCTTCCCGGGATTAAATAAACAGAGTTTTATTTGGGGGTGCTTCTCTCGCTGGTGACAAGAGAATCAACACAGTTATCCCATTGAATTCTGCAAGTTTCAGTTTTGCTACGATCAAACACTGTAAAATTCTTTCCCATTTTCCGAAGCAAATCATAAATCTTAAATGCTCAAGCTGTATATGCTGAAGGGAAAAGCCCTATCAAAAGAGCTTTATCACAATAAGAATATGTTTTTGTGACATAAAATCTATTTGTATTGTAAGAGCTTGTCTTCTCTTCCACTAGAACTGGAGTTCTCAGCCTGGGGAAAGCACTGGACAGGGAGAGCACCGACCGGTATATTCTGATCGTCACGGCTTCAGACGGCAGGCCAGATGGGGTGAGTAGCCTCTTTTGAGTAGACAAGAGTTTTCAAAACTATTAAGGGAACTTAGTCTTGCAATATTGCACTCTAAGCAATTTGTCACAGTAATAAACTGATATATATACTTTTTTTTTTGCCTTGGGCAACTTTATTTTTTACTGGAAATGCTATTTTCCTGTTGACTTCTTAACTATATGAATCTATACTTTGAATATGCTATGTTGTTGCAACTTTTGATCTGATGTATTAGAAATCTGTGATTGGTAGTTCAACACAATTAGTGGGAGGAAAGAATTCTACCTTACTGTAGGAAGCACTCCATTTTGTCTGAAATTGCACCACTCTAAATTGCACCCTGCTACTTCTGCATGCTACAATATATATTCTTTAATCTGACACTCTTTTTGAGGGTTGGAGAATTTTTGGATAAATACATCAAAGCATTTAGAAAACCCATATGAATAATTCCATAGGTTTGTTTAAGGAGCACCCAGTATCCCAAATGATCCGTGACTAAGTGATTTAACTATATGTGCATACTAAAGAAAAAGGCACTCTATTTCTTCTGCATCAGAAAATAATTTTCTAGAATAAATAAATTTTTATTGGATGTATGCATTTTATAATGATTTGTCTGTGTCCATTGAACCACCTTGTCCACAACCACCATGATTCTGATTTTTAAGCACTAGTTTTTCAGTGGTTGTTAATATGATTAGATAGCATTTTCACTACCCTTTTGATACAAGTCAATTTTTCCCTTTTGCCAATCCTGATGGGCCAAATAAGTATTGTTATCCTGGAATAATTTCTTTATATGTTTATAACCAAAAAGACTTCTTACAGGTTTATAACCAGTATCTTCATCATTTTATTTAATGTTTGGTGCATACATTTGAATAATGTATTAACTGCTCTTCTTTGTTGGCATACAAATATTATCCTATCACATACAGCATGATATTTCAAGATAGATATTGGAATGTTACTTTTACCCATGAATCTAATGCCAATTCCAGTTGAATCTGTCGATCTTGGCATAGTAACCCATATAATTGTCCAATTCAAAATGGCCAGTGCCATTCCATTTCAGCTCACTAATGCTTAAGATATCAACCTTCATGTAGTTTCAATTTCAGTTTTGACAACTTGCAATTTTCCTAGATTCCGATTTTGCACGTTCATGTTCCAATTATTAATCAATATTTTCAGCTTTTTTTATTTCTTTGTTTTTCTTATTTTCAGTCATGATCCATCAGCAGGCCAGGCCATGGAAGCTTTGTTCTTTATGCACACCATTGAGATCTGTTCTACTTGGGAAAGGGAGCTCTCTCACCCATTCACATTCTGGGTGTCTTTCAATCCAAGCGGCTTGCTTATCAGATTATATTACACTATGTTGCTTATCAGACTATATCTGCACTATATCAGACTTAAGTTTTTCACTGGCTAATCCCTCAGAAGTGATTAACCTAGTTCTTTATTCATCTGGAACCAACACTGAAATCTATTCTCTATGAATGACCGCGCTGGTATTTGAAATACTGGTTGAGTAACTTATAGCAACACAGGAGCATGCAGTCTACCACAGAACAACAAAATGATAAAGGAGCGATGAGAAAAAGAGAATTAAGGATAACTACTTAAGTTTGATAATGATATTCCACCTATGATACACTTTTTAAAATATATTTCTCATTCATTATATAAATAGCTATTATTGGGTCCAGAGCAGGGATACTTTTAAGGAACAGCACAGCCAGTGGTAATAGAAGTAGTATAGGATTTAAGAAAAATTAACTCCTAAGATTCATGCATGTGTATATATACATACACATGATGCTTTGCTGAATAAACTTGCACCTATATTAAAGAAGTCAGTGAGAGACTTTCGAAGGCTATAATTGCAACACTTGAATTATGAAGGAAGTTTAGTGGACAGCTTGGCTGAGTGGTACCCAAAGGAGGACGTGAGAGGAGCAGGCTAAGCAGTGATAGGAATTATTTAGTATAGAAGACAGGATAGCATTAGAGAGAAGTGAAATTAGGAAAGAACATTCCGGTCAACTATTTAAAGAAAAAAAATGAAAGAAGGAAATCATACTACATAGCTTTGGGATATTTCATTATAAATCAGAAAAACAATGGTAGTAATTTAGCTAGTGAATTTTGTCTGGCCTTAACAATAAGGAGCAAGGGAGCAGATGGAAACGAAATCATATATTTAGATTTGGCATGGCTCCATCTATTAATTATGTTTCTCCCTTGCTATAAACTAAAAATAAATTCTAGATCACAAGGAGATTAGTTCTTTTTGGAAAGTGTTTTGTACTTTGGGCATGCTATCAGGAGACACTCATCTCTGGAAGGATATGAGCATGCCTGACAGAGTAGTAGCGGGTCAGTGAAAGAGAGTTAAGAATTTCAGTAAGATGAATTGACACTGGGGTCGTAACAATGGGCACAAACAGCAATACTGTTCAGTGAGGGAAGACGCAGGCAGTTTGGTTCTGTTGTTCATAAGGTGATCATAAATCCTGACCAATTGGAATCCACTGAACAGCAGCAGGATGTGTTTCACATAATTTGATTAAGGATTTCTAGTTGAGAATATGGTTGAATTAAATTAGTTCAAAGCAAGAAAAGAGAAAGAAAATTGACACAAACTATGATATTTTCCCACTATACCATTGTAGTGGGTAATTTTAAAGATGTGAATCTAATTTTGTTTCTATGGTGTATTTGAAATACATAGCGAAATAATTTAGTGGACAAATTTTAAACAGTTATTTAGGTAAAGGCTTACAGAGCAGATCATGAGTTTTACTTTTAACAGTCTATACACATTTTGTTTCAACTCATGTATTTCAATGCCCTCAATGTAAAATCAGTTTTCCCACTTCTTCCCAGTGTTTCTTGCCTCCAGTACATATTCTTTCCTAACCCTCTGTCCTTGGGTACATTCTGACCTAGTGGTCTTACACGATTGGTTGTTCTAACACACCTGGTAGTTCAGTTTCAGATCTGAACGTGAATAAATCCCATAGTCTTGGTTGGGCACACCAGTTTCTATCCAGCCCCAAACCTCATTTATGATTTGGAATTCTGTTCCACATCTTCAACCACTCTGCCCAGTATTTTCTAATGTGATCATTTTCAGACCAGTTATTGGTGGCCACTGGGCACCATCTAGTTCTTCAAGTCTCAGGGATGTGGAGACTGATATTTGCCTGGTCGAAGTTCATTCAGCTAATGTAACTCATTGTTTGTCTATTCTTTTAATAAAATAGCATTTTAATGGCTGTTTTAAAATAAATCAGGAAAATATATAGTGTAAGCAAAACAAATAGTTCTTCATTAATTAAATTTAATAGCTTTTTTTATTGAACTGGAATATATTTAAAATGCTTAATTAATTGATTTCAAAATGCATTTACTGGCATACTTTTCAGTTTATCTTTTTTACTTAACAACCTTACGTAATTCTTGGTAAATTCGTATTTAAAATTAACTGCTAATTTGTCCCTAATAAGAGACATAAACAATATATTAGGTACATAAACATATTGAAGTATATCGGTGATATTTTCCCCAATTAATCTGAAATATTTTACATAATCATGCATTATAGTTAACAAATCTTAACTATTTTCACAGAAAATATTCTATATGTGTTTATTATCTTACTTTTTTTATTGGACATATTGACATTTTTCAAATCATCTAAAAGTCCCTAAGATACTGAGAAATGTACTACGTGGTTGATGAATATCAGCTCCTTTTTGCAAAAAGAAAAGTAAAAGATTAAAAACTTAATTAAAATATTTTAATATGGTGTAGTACAACATTTAAACCCATCCCCATTGCTATGCTCCATTCCATCACAAATTTACTTGTTTTTTTTAATCATTTTATTAGGGGCTCACACAACTCTTATCACAATCCATACATACATCAATTGTGTAAATCACATTTGTACATTCATTGCCCTCATCATTCTCAAACATTTGCTCTCCACCTAAGCCCCTGGCATCAGCTCCTCATTTTTTTTCCTTCCCTTCCCACTACCCCCTCCCTCATGGACCCCTGATAATTTATAAATTATTATTTTGTAATATCTTGCACTGTCCAACATCTCCCTTCACCCACTTTTCTGTTGTCCATCCTCCAGGGAGGAGGTTATATGTAGAGCCTTGTAATTGGTTCCCACTTTCCAAACCACCCTCCTTCCACCCTCCCAGAATGTACTTGTTTTATGTCTTTGTGTGATACATTTAATAATCTAACACCATAATTAAAAAGCATCGATTCTTCCATCTTCCTCAATTTTACCTCAGTTTTTTCATGAATCTGAAGTGATTGTCTGTACTGTGGCTTGGGTCAGGCATGCGTTACTCTTCAATGTGATATCTCTGCTTTTTAATAGTTTCAAGAAATCTTTTCCCTCAGGTTATCCCAGCTCAGTATATCACTATATATTAATATAGATAGATAGATGATAGATAATGGATAGATCAGTATATCACAGACTACTCTTCTTATGTGTATTGATTGTATATCCAGATATATTAAATTCTTGACAACTTAGATCTTTTCCTTATTCATCATAATGTTCCTTATTGGTCTACTTATGGATAATTTTGTTTTATGTTGAAGTATAATTCATACCGAAGGCTGAAGTAGTTAATCGTCATCAACAAGTGTTTCAATTTCTGCCAGTTCAGTTGTACTAACTGCATATAGCAAATTGTTAATGAGTTTTCTTCTGATCCTCACGTCATGTTCATCATTATTTATTCCAGGTTCTCAAATTATTTGCTAACATACAGAGTGAATAAATATTGTGAAAGGATATAACCTGATATACTGTTCCAGATTTTATACCACACAATACCTCTTTGTTCTATTCAAGCAATACCTCTTTGTCTGTGTACGAGTTCTGCAAGAGAACAATGAAGTGTTCTAGAACTCCTGTTCTTTTCAATGTCATCCCTAATGTGTTCTCACTCATACAG